ACGAGCCGGAAAGTGGAGCCGTAGCAGGCGCCTGCCATTGCAAGGCCTTCGTCAAGGGACGTCGTTGTAATGAGTGCAAAGATGGCTACTGGAATCTCCAGCCCGACAATCCCGATGGCTGCGAGCCGTGTACTTGCAATATCCTAGGCACTTTGAACAATTCCGGATGCGTTATGCGCACGGGAGAGTGCAGGTGTAAGCTGTATGTTACGGGCAAGGACTGTAATCAATGTATGCCGGAGACCTATGGACTTTCCGAATCACCAGAGGGTTGCACCTTGTGTAACTGCGATGCTGGAGGATCCTACGATAATTATTGCGATGTTTTGAGTGGTCAATGTCGGTGCAGGCCTCACATGACAGGAAGATCCTGTTCGCAGCCCAAACAGAATTACTTCATTCCCTTGCTACCGGAAGTTCATGAGGCGGAGGTGGTGGATGAATGTATTTCCTATGGTCCCAATGGAAATTGCAGTCTGGTGGCTGAAACTCCGGATGGAAGTTTCACGGGTCCTGGCTTCACCAGGGTTCCAGAGAACACGGAACTGGTCTTCACCGTCGGCGATATTCCACGCTCCATGCCCTACGATGTGGTTATACGTTATCAGAGCACTTCTCGTGGAGATTGGGAGGATGCCTATATCACTCTGGTGAGACCCGATCAAGTGGATCCCAATGGCGAGTGTGGAGAAGTTGCTGCGGCCACTTCCTCGGAGACCAGGATACCATTCTCGCTGCCCGATCGCAATCGCCAGGTGGTGGCATTGAATAATGTTTGCCTGGAGGCCGGCAAGGTTTACAAGTTCCGAATTTATTTCGAGAGGAAGCGACTCGATGCAGACAGTCCCACAGCGACGATCTTGGTGGATTCCCTAACTCTCATTCCACGCATCGATGTAACGCCCATCTTCACGGGTTCCGAACTGGCCGACATTCGCAGGAAGGACTATGAGAGATACAACTGCAATTCATCATTGTACGATATGAATCACAAGCCCGATCCGAGATGCAGGGACTTGGATAATATTGTGAGCATCTTTGTCCACGACGGAGCCAGCATGTGCAATTGCAATCCCACGGGATCGTTGAGCAAGGTGTGCGAGTCCAATGGAGGCTTCTGCCAATGTAAACCCAATGTGGTGGGCCGGCAGTGCGATCAGTGTGCCCCGGGCACCTACGGATTCGGTCCGGAGGGATGCAAAGCCTGCGATTGTGACAGCACCGGATCGAAGGACAACAACTGCGATCTGATCACCGGTCAGTGCCAGTGTGTGCCGAGCACCTATGGCAGGGAGTGTAACCAGTGCCAGCCGGGCTATTGGAACTTCCCCAATTGCCAGGCTTGCCAGTGTAATGGCCATGCGGCGCTGTGTGATCCCATCCACGGAACCTGTCTGGATTGTCAGGTGAGCCAGTCAAGGAGAAAACATTTTACATATTATTATGGTCTCTGGAAATTAGAAACCATAACTAATGTTGTTTTTGAACAGTTGTTCATAAATCTCGTTGTTTCTTTTTGTTATAATTTGGTTTTTGGTTACAATTTGGAACTCATCTGTTTTATGTTACATAGCAGCTTTAGCCCTATCACTCAAATCAATTTCGAAAATCTTTGATAACATCTATTTAAACTCACTAAATGAGTTTAGGGTTTTTAGGTACCAACTCTAAGTAGCAATTCCAAGTTACAAAAAGAATTTGAACTAAAATGGCATGCATTTTCGTGGTATTTCTTATTTTAACTTTAAATGGTTAAGCTAATTCAAACTTATTTTCCATTTACCGCCAGGACTCGACCACGGGCTTCAGCTGCGACAGCTGTCTGGACGGCTACTATGGAAATCCCCTGTTTGGCAGCGAGATTGGATGCCGACCATGCCGCTGTCCGGAGACGTTGGCCAGTGGAATGGCCCATGCGGATGGCTGCTTCTTGGACACGCGAAACAACAACATGCTGTGCCACTGCCAGGAAGGATACTCCGGCTCCCGTTGCGAGATCTGTGCGGATAACTACTTCGGAATACCGGACAACGGTGGCACTTGCTCCAAGTGCGAGTGCAGCAACAATGTCGATCTCTATGACACCGGTAACTGCGATCGCCAGACGGGCGCTTGTCTGAAGTGCCTGTATCAGACGACTGGCGATCACTGTGAACTCTGCAAGGATGGATTCTTCGGGGATGCACTGCAGCAGAACTGCCAGCAGTGTGACTGCGACTTCCTCGGAACGAATAGTACGATAGCTCACTGCGATCGCTACACGGGTCAGTGTCCTTGCTTGCCGAATGTAGAGGGTCAACGATGCGATAAGTGTGCCGAGAATCACTGGAAGATAGCCTCTGGCGAGGGATGCGAGGGCTGCAACTGCGATCCCATTGGAGCCCTGCACGAGCAGTGCAACTCGTATGACGGACAATGCCAATGCAAGCCAGGATTCGGAGGCAGGGCTTGCAATCAGTGTCAGGCTCACTACTGGGGCAATCCCAACGAGAAGTGCCAGCCCTGCGAGTGCGATCAATACGGATCCGCTGACTATCAGTGTGATCGGGAGACTGGTCATTGTGTCTGCCACGAAGGAATCGGTGGCTACAAGTGTAATGAGTGCGCCAGGGGCTATATTGGACAGTTCCCGCATTGCTCACCCTGTGGCGAATGCTTCAACAACTGGGATTTGATCTTGACCGCTTTGGAGGATTCAACGACAGCCACCATTCGACGAGCTAAGGAAATCAAGCAAGTGGGTGCCACAGGAGCCTATACGTCCGAGTTCAGTGAACTGGACAAGAAATTGCAGCACATCAGAAATCTGCTGCAGAACACCTCAGTTAGTCTGGTGGACATTGAGAAACTGGATTCGGAAACCAATGAGCTTAAGCAGCAACTACAGGCATCCCATGGTAGATTGAGCGAAACCGAAAGAAATCTCGATGACATATACAATTCGCTGAGTCTGTCGGGTGTAGAGCTCGAGGGTCTGCAAAACCACTCCAGGTTGGTGCAACAACTGTCCAAGGAACTCAAGGAAAACGGCATTCAGTTGCAGGAATCGAATATCGAAGGAGCTTTGAACCTCACACGACACGCCTACGAAAGGGTTAGCAATTTATCGACCCTCAAGGCGGAGGCCAGTGAACTGGCCTCCAATACGGATCGAAATTGCAAGAGAGTGGAAACGCTGTCCAACAAGATCCAAGCCGAGGCGGAGGGATTGGCTAAGAATGACAAATCCATTGCGGATTATCGCGCGGAGTTGACGTCTCTGACCTCTCAAGTTCCCGAACTGAACAAGCAGGTTTGCGGCAAGGAAGGCGATCCCTGCGACAGCTTGTGCGGAGGAGCTGGTTGTGGCCATTGCGGAGGTTTCCTGTCCTGCGAACATGGCGCCAAAACCCATTCGGAGGAGGCACTCAAAGTGGCCAAGGACGCTGAGGCGGCCATTACCAGCAAGAAGGATCAGGCGGATCAAACCATAAGGGCTCTAACCCAGGCCAAATTGAATGCCTCCGAGGCCTATGAGAAGGCCAAACGGGGTTTCGAACAATCCGAGCGTTATCTGAATCAAACAAACGAAAGCATCAAGTTGGCTGAAAACCTTTTCACTGCCGTCACTAATTTCCAGGAGAACAAGACAGCTTCCCCAGCAGAGAGCAAGCAGTTGGCACAGGATACTCTGGAGTTGGATCTGAAACTGGAACCCAAGGAGATTGAGTCCCTGGGAGCCCAGATCAATGAGGCCGTGTCGTCCCTGAAGAATGTCGAGTCGATTATCTACAGGACCAGACCCGATTTGGACAGGGTCAATAATCTGCAGAGCACTGCCAATGCCACCAAGGAGAAGGCCAACAAGATACTGGACTCTGCGAATTCGGTGGTGGAAAGTCTGGCTGCGGCAGATGAGTCCCAGGAAAAGGCACAGGCTGCAATTCAACAGGCCAACAGCAATATTGAGCTGGCCGGCCAGGATCTGGAGAAGATCGATGAGGAAACGGATTCCGCCGAAGCACCAGCGAATAACACAGCCCAGCAGGTTGAGGAATTGGCCAAGAAAGTGCAGCGCCTGCAGAATAATATCGTTAAGAATGATCGGGATGCCAAGGAGATTACCAAGGAGGCGGGTCGCGTCAAACTGGAGGCCATGCGTGCCCGCGGCGAGGCTAACAATTTGCAGTCGGCCACCAGTGCCACCAATCAGACCCTCACCGACCGAGCAAGTCGCTCCGAGAACGCCAGGGAACGGGCCAAGCAGCTTCTCCAGAGGGCCTCCAAACTGACCGTCGATACCAACGCCAAGCTGAAGGATCTAAACGATCTGCAGACCGTCTACAATAACAAGAACCAGCAGCTGAACGAGCTCAAGGATGCAATTGGTCCCTTGAACAAGGTGCTCAACGAGCACCTGATCCACATCAAAGAGCGGAGTTCGCACTATAGGCAGTGTTACACGTAGATCCCAGAGGGTAGGCATCCTATTTTTGTTTAACCACCTTTTTTTCATTAATAAAACATTTTAACTTAGCCCTAGAAATAAAAAAAAAACTTATCTGCCATTCAAATTTAAATCAAAAGCAAATTAAATTTAAAAAATTAAAAAAAAAAAACTTTAAAATCTATAAACATTTTTTTTGCTTCATAATTGTAACTTTTTAAGCTACGTTTAAATTATAAAAAACGTCTAACCTTTCATTCCATTAAAAAAAAAAAATTAACTTACTATATTTTACTTTTTTTTATTTTTACATTTATTTTCAGATTCCTCTGCGCGGCCATTTTAATTGCCATATTCATGAACAATAAGCAATCTGCTAATTACGAGAATCAAGTAAAATACTACAACAAGAACTAGGATGGCAACAGTTATTATGTAACCACTGTTAAGTTACCGTTACTTTTTGTACTCTAAGCGAAATCCAACACTGCAATGTTAATTTTAAAAATTGAGCGAAAAAAATCGTATCCCTATACCATTTTGTAATGAAATTAATGTAATTAAATAAAACTACTTAGATGTGGAAATGTCTTGTATTTGTTTGTGTTTTTGTTATAGAGAGGAACAAGATGGATGTTTTAATAGAGAGCGACAGGTGAGAGTATTTTGGTAGCACAGTCGAACATTCATAAGTCCAATCTACTAATTTCCAATTATTTTGATCTAAGTTACCGCCAGGAGCTGTAAAAATAAATTATAAATTATAATACAATTCATAGATCGTTTTATTGAAAAAATGATTAAACTTTTTTAATAAATATAAATGTAAGAAAAATTAAAAATAAAATTTCTACTAAAAAATGTTTGATAAAAAAAAATTATTTATGTACTCACACTTCATTTATGGCAACTCTTTTTTATAAGTGCAAAGGATTATTATTTTTGTTGTGTTTATGTTATGGACAGTTTACTGTATGTTTATTTTGATGGGTATTGGTACTTTATGCTGCCACAAACATTGCCATTTTGTTTTATTCCATTCCGTTTTGTTTTAGTTTTTCTGCGCATCGCGTGCTGCTGCTTTTTTTTGTTTTTAAATTTTGGTCAATTTATTTCTAATATTTTTCTGGTATCCAAGAGGTGTACTTATTATAAAACCGGAAGTTGGCTCGAATGGATCGACGTTACAGAAGGTCGTTGCGGAGTTCGGCAGGTATTCAATAATATTCCATATACTAATAATGCAGTCGGTGCAGTTGCAGAGAAGCCCACTTCACAATTAAAGGTCAAGGTAATGCGGAAAGTCTAGAAAATGCTTTTTAAATCATGAAGTTTTTAGTTTTACCCCATCTTTTAGCTTGACCGACAAACATTTTAAAGCTTTTCGTGAATTGAGTATCCCTACTGACTATCGATAGGAGTTATCGTCCCAGCCGCTTATCGATGTTTCGCAGCCGAAACGTATGTCATCAATTTCAGCTGAAATCTCAACAAGTGCAAGTTTCGGGTTCTATTTTAATTAAAAGCGCCCGCGTCTTTGGTTAAATCGGCATTGTTTGTATCGGTATTCAAGTTGCAGTGCGTGGGATTTATTATATTTATTTATTAATTTATTGCGACATCCGTGCAGGCACACGCACACATACGCGAATGACAGATGTGCGACGTGCATACGTATATAGAGCACAACACACACACGCACACGCAGTGCGGATGTTCTGATTTAATTTTATTTTTAACATAAGAATATCCGAATATCCGAAAATATAATGCCCACAAAGAAAGAGCGTCTGTAAAAGCGCAAAAGGGACACGGCAAAAACGAAAAGGGAACGAACTGCGGACGACAATCAAAAAACGGGAACATCGGCCGCAAACGAAAATAATAAATTAAAAACACAAAAAGGAAAAATACAAATAATACGACATCTGACGTTTCAGCGTCAAGTGTTTTTCCCCAACAGTACGTTTTCCCCCAAATGGACAGGGATTTTCATTTTGCAATCTGCAATCTGCAACCTTTCCATCGAATTTAGGCCGAATCGGAACGCACAAATGCACCGATGAACGGAAAAAAAAACCAAATTACAAAATTTATATTAAAATATTATAATAAATTGTTGATTCAAAATTGAAATATTTTGAAATAAACAAAGTTTAAATCCAATTAAAAAAAAAAACAATTTGCAAAAACACATTTGAAAACTCAATTTGTAATCATAAACTATTAATAATTTCACATGTAGTTTATATTTGTACTTATTTTAAAACTATAAATTTAATTTGAAACTATAAAACTTGAACAACGAAAAATGCGAAATTATATTACTTCCGATTCCGCCTAGTTTGATCAAATTTGAAACGGGAAAGTCTTGCATATTAAATGGCCAACCCCTTTGTTGTTTATTTTAATTTCGTTTTTTATTTCATGCATATACACGTAGACACCCACCCACATTCGCGGCTGACAGTCTCGCATGCGTTTTTTAACTTGAAAAACATTGGCAGAGCAAATCAAAAAATCAAACGGCAACAGAGAATAACGAAACGCCGGCATTTCCCATGGACGACGAACTGGAAGATAAGGTGTTCTATCAGACATACGTATCGCACATGAAAATCCTGTCCAAATTTGCGGTGGGCTTCTCGTCCATCAACTCGCCGTTGGCCTACATATGGAAGCTGTGCCGACTGTATGTTCTGCGCCCGGAAGTCATCTTCTGCGGCTTGATCCTCTTCGTCCTTTTGCTTTACTTGCAAGCGGTAGATGTTTGGAGTCGCAGCATCCTGGGACGCATCCAGGCCACCCTGGGTCGCCAGAAGGCCGTCAAGATGATGGAGATGTCGGCCAGTGCTGGCGATCACCAGAGCTGGGAGGAGATGAAGCAGCAGAGCTCCGCTTTTGCTGTCCTCGGACGCAGACCCCGGATGGAGGATAGGTCAGTATAAAACACTGGTCATCCAAAATAAACTAAAAGGAAGAAAACACTTATATCAAATCACTATAACTACTTGTTATTCATATTTATGTACAGTTCCTATAAAACGTTTAAATAGTTGAGTGTAATTAATGCAAGACACCTTTTATAAAAATACCTACTCCCAAACAAATAAATAACTTAAACGTGTATTTCCCTGACCTCAAACAATGTTTTTACCCAGAAAATACGTCAAATGTTTTGAAATTTATGGATTTTTTAAAATGAAAAACATTTCTGTTGTTTGTTTGATTTAAATAGACTACTGACAAACAAACTCTTGGCAAATAAGACAAAACTAATTATAAAATAAGACATTCTTCAAATAGCCAATGCAATACTTTATTGCCAAAATAATCTTTTCCATATGCAAATTTTTTAACGACATTTAAATTACAAATCTGCCAGTTTGTAGCTATTTTTCCTTTTTGAGAAAATCCGTTTTTCATTTCCGCAATTTCTATAGAATTATTGTATAAATTTGATTGACCATCAGACTAATTATTTTAAATAAACTTTCTAGATTCATCATCGAAGAGAACATCAACAACAACACTGGCATCTCCTTCTTTGCTGTCTTCGATGGCCATGGCGGTGAGTTTGCCGCGGATTTTGCCAAGGATGTGCTTGTGAAGAATATCTACAACAAGATCATCGAAATGTCCAAGCTGCTGAAAACAGAGGGAGTGTCCGGTGATTACGATAAGAGTCCTTATTTGGCTCGAAAGCAGAGTCGCAAGGATTCGAACAAGGAGAACACGGAACCCACAGCAGCGGTGGCACGAAAGGATAGTTTAAGAAAGGCCCACAGCACCACGGCGGACTGCAGCGCCATTAAACAAAAGACAACGGAGGCCTCAATTGCCGATATTTATACAGCGCAATTGAATTCGGCGATGAGAGCCAGTGGAAATGTGGGAGCCGCCAAGGATTCGTTTCTTAACAACAATAACAATGCTCAGAATGGTGGAGCAGGCAGTGCACCACCTCCAAATTACGAAGCCAAGTGCTATATCGAAAATGGTCGTATTAACTTTGGAAAACTGATCACGGACGAGATCATGTCGGCCGACTACAAACTTGTGGAACAGGCCAAAAGAGCGGTGGGTGCTGCTTTCTAACTACCTTATTAATTAATTTCACAAATATTAACTTTCAGACAAACATTGCGGGCACCACCGCCCTAATAGCCATTGTCCAAGGGTCCAAGCTGATTGTGGCCAATGTGGGTGATTCCCGCGGTGTCATGTATGATTCCCGTGGAATTGCCATCCCCCTTTCCTTCGATCACAAGCCGCAGCAGGTGCGGGAGCGAAAGAGGATCCACGATGCAGGCGGTTTCATAGCCTTTCGGGGCGTTTGGCGCGTGGCTGGCGTTCTGGCCACGTCACGTGCCCTGGGCGACTATCCCCTGAAAGATAAGGTGCGAAATGGGATGATCCCAATCCGTTGCCAGCCAGACTAATATTGATTTTATTTTTAACCGCACGCTTACAGAATCTGGTGATTGCTACGCCGGACATTTTGACCTTCGAACTGAATGATCACAAGTAAGTTTATTGTTTTTTTTCGATTATTTATTGTATGCTTAACTTTAGAACTTTTAAAGTATATACTATTAAACGAATCTATTTAGGCCCCACTTTCTGATACTGGCCTCCGATGGACTCTGGGACACGTTCAGCAACGAGGAGTCCTGCACATTTGTTCAGGAGCATCTAAAAGAATCGGACTTCGGAGCCAAATCGCTGGCCATGGAGTCCTATAAACGCGGCTCCGTGGACAACATCACCGTTTTGGTGATCGTCTTTAAGAACGATGTCTACAAGATTGGCAGCTCAGCAGCGGGCAAAGTGGGAGATGAGTCGCTAAAAGTGCCAGCCAAATCTCAACCAGTTGCGCCTGCAGTTGTGCAACGCTCGAATTCAATCAAAACCAAATGATATACGAAACACTAGAGTGCCTGCTAAGAAATGCTCTTTAGCTTTCCCCCAAATTTTCCTCCTCCCCAAAGAAAAAACAAACAAAAGTGCCCAGAATTTCTAGTTAGGCGTTTTGCTAAATACTTTTGTCTTTTTGTTACTTATCCCAAAGGCATCGCATTGTTCATTCATCATTTAGTAACCCCATACTTAATCTACTTGGAATTGCGATTCCCATTTTCTTGATTTTGATTAAGGTTGTTTGTTAGCTCATGTTGTTTTGTACGAAACATATTTTGCATCCGCCGCCACATTGCCGCGCCTTTTGTTTTTCCATCTCTCACACGAAAATCATCACAGTCTCATAGACAAAAAACAGCTCATCAAACGTCACTATTTATTTAATTTATTTGTTATACTTGTAAAATAAAAACATTTTCTAATTTATCGAAATGTTTTTACAAATAAAACAAGGCATTCGAAATGCGACAATTTCGTTTTGCTACTTAAATCCTTTAAATCGTTTTTTAATTCAATCAAAATGGGAAGGAAAAAATGTTTTTCAAAAATAACTGCTAAACGGACTGAGTTACAAGTGGCGGTACTATTTCAACTATTGTTTGCTAAGTTTATTATATAACTTTCTAGGTAAATATAACAAATTTAAATTTAGACTGAGGGTTTTAAATAAATAGGTTATTTACACGTTCAAATGATCCGATGCTGATATTAAAGAACTCGTAAAAGCACTCCCCCTTTGCGTAATTTTGAATGAAAATTCAATCAACTCATGGTAAATGTTCTTCTAATATTTTCTTATATTCTTTATTAAGGATTATAGATTAACTAAATTATCCCTATACTTTACAGATCGCTTTTCCAAGACAAAATAAAATCACCAAAACAAGAGATTACAACTTTTACCCCCTGCTAAATTAAAACTAATTCGGCAACTACCAAATAACAACATTGTTTTCAATTGAGGAAGCCTTAAATTTATTTTTGTTTAATGTTAAACAAATAATTTGGCGACCAATACAAAAGTCAGTAGCTTAGTGGGCCGAAACAGAGACCTGCCAGACGCGGATGGTGTTGTCGGAGTAGCCGGCGAACAGGGTCTGGCCGTCGGTGGACCATGCCAGGGACAGGCACTGGGGCTGGTCGGCCTTCGACGTGGGCGAGACGACCTCGGGGCGCAGCTCCTCCACGGTCTTCTTGCATGCCAGATCCCAGATCTTGATCGAGGGGCCGTAGGCAACGCACAGCCAGTAGCGGTTGGGCGAGAAGCACAGGGCGTTGATGATGTCGTTGTGCTCCAAGGTGTACAGGTTCTTGCCGTCATTGAGGTCCCACAGAAGGGCCTTGGAGTCCTTGCCACCGGAGGTGCACAGGGAGCCGTCGGGCGAGACGGTCACGGTGTTCAGGTAGCCGTTGTGGCCATGGTGGTTGTTCTTCAGCTTGCAGTTG